CTTTGGTTCTACACTTCAAAAGTGTTGGTGTATGGACTTTGCCTAAGTTTGACCCTTTATCTTAAGGCACTCACCTAATGGATGTGGAAGGGTTGATAAAATTCTAATGCTATTCCTCAGTGTTCCATGTATCTATCTAGACAATCTCGACCTTTAATAAATGGAACAAGAGTAATACTAAACGTACAAATAAATCTTACAAAGATTTCTATACAAAGTGATGTGGTAGAAAATGAAAGAAAGGGTGAATATGATGAATTTGACTTTTGTATTCACTTTTGTATTCATTTTCTATCGCATCATTTTGTATACCCAGTGTTGGGGTTAGAGGGGTTTTGTAGAGTGGAAGTCAGTGGTTCAGGTGGTAGTGTTAGATTGAATTTTGGACGCTAGAATCAGCCAAAATTTGGCCCAAAAAAATCAACCCAATTATGACAGTATATGCAAGTCACGATCATTACCAAGTGCCAATGTTAGAGGAGTTTTGTTGAGTAGAGGTCGGTGATTCAAGTGGTGGTGTCGGATTGAATTTTGGCTATCAAAATCAGCTAGAATTTGGCCTAGAAAAGTGTGCAGTCTCAAACCTGTAGGGACTGACGTGTATTTATCAAGGGTGTGTTTGCTAGATTTTAAACTTGTTGGATCACCGGCACAACGCTGATTTAACCGATTAACCTAGGACTTGACCCCTTGGCTGGATGACACCCCGAGTCGGGTTTCAGAACACTATGTGAAAATGAAAACCACTTTTGCTTTCATTTATCTTTTGGTTGAAAACATAATTGATTAACAAGGGAAGAAATCATGAATTGAAGTGAATTCAACTACTTGACAAGATTGATAAACTTTTTCCTCTTATTCAATTCGAGTTTGTCTTTCTCCACTTAATTGTGACTCTAACTCAATTTGAATTTCTCTTTCTTATTGATGATAGATGAAGAACTTTGCTGGGCAATGATGAGATTTTGTGGTTGTGATGGATTGGAATTGGTAAAGGACGACTTATTAAGTCAAGTTGTCGAAATTGGTTTGAAAAGTGTCTTCCATTTTCCCCTGAGAGCAATGTTTCAAAAACCGGACAGGACTATGACCCATTCAAGGGTCCGGTTTTTGGTTTGATTGGTTTGATCCGTCAGTTTGATCGTATCCTATAAAATTACATGTTAGTCCCTAAATGTTTGAAATTCATCAAAAACACCCCTAATAATACTCCCTTAAGGTTTGAAATCTATCCAAAACACCCATGTCGCGTGAAAAGATTGGTGAGTGGTGGCGGCAGTGATGATCGACTACCAATCAAAGTTTGGAATCATGGGGCTTTTGATGTATAGGTGCCAGCGAATCTTATGGTGGTGTTAGGGAGTTCTACCGGCGTCGGAATTTGCCGGAATCAAGAAGGAAGTGCGACGGTTGCATGAACTATAGGTAGATGGTGAGCGACGAAAGGCTGGACGATGGCCACTGAAAATGGATGGGTTTTGTCATGTAGATGCCGTCAAGTCTAATGATGGTGTTTTCTCCCTCGAACGATGCCAGAATTCGGCGGGATTGAGTTATGATTGGACTGAGATTCGGCACTATTCTAACAATAAAACCGAGGCACAATCCGGTTTGATTAAAAATATCGGTTTTTAGAGGACATCGAACCAGAAATGTCGTCGGCTTCCTATCAAATTGGTCCAACCGAACGGTTCGATTTTCAGAACACTGCCTAAGAGATCAACAATTCAATTTCAAATTGTAGTAGGAATGATGCGTTTGGGTTACTATTTCTATCAGTATTTGGGATACAATTTTTGAAATATGTGTTTGTTTTATTACTTAAAAAGTTGTATTCAATAAATACTACTCGTGCCATATTTGACCGTTATATTGGTGGGGAATACATCTGCAATTTTTAATTTTTTCTTACTTCTTTCTTCCTCTTTATTTCTTCAGTCTCTCTCCCTTAACCACCATGACAAGTCTCTCTTCCACCTGCCCTTATTTCTTCTTTATTTTTTTTGTCTTCTTCTTTATTTCTTCAGTCCCTCTTCTTCCAAACACCATCCACCGCTGCAATGAGCAAGTATATTTTGATGGCCAAAACGGGGCAGAAGATGGTGGAAATGGAGAGGGATCAAGTCAACCGCAACAACTTATTATAGACGGCATGACGACTGTACGAGATAACATAACGACTGAACTATGGGCAACACATATGACCATGTCGTAATTGTTAATGGAGTATATATGTACAAACGATTCTAATGGTTGATAATTAGTAGCTTTGTCATACATGTAATAATGCAGTGTTTTTAAACAGTTGGATTAGTACTTGAAATTAATATGAGTTTTTTTTTTTTTTTAATATTTAGTGGTTACGAAATTACTAATCAAATGTTCAATATTATTAAAATGTAAATTAATAAGTTTTTAAGTTATAATAATAAATTATTTTAACAAAATGCACCAAAATATTATATTAATAAATCATTTATAAAAAATATACTAAATAAATATTCAACAATTTATTCAACACAAATAACAAAGTCAAAATACTCTACCAAACATATTTTATTCAAATCCTATTTTCGTAATAATAACCCAACTCAACGTCCCAATACTATTTAAAAAATCCTATCCGAAAGAACAAAACAAACACAAAGATATTTGAGTATTTATCGGTCCGTTTGGTGTATTATTTCATACTCTATTCTAAAATAACTGTTTGTTTAATTATTTAGTAAATACTATTATATATTTTTTAATTACTTTTAGACCCCTTAAGTTTATTAATTTCATTAAACACCCTAGAAAAAGTTTAAAAATGAACAAAAACACCCCCACCCACCCATAGTTGCCAAATTCCAGCAATCGCCGTCGGTGGTAGCCGGAATCTGTCACAACGGCCTGCAAACGACTGGAATTGGCCGGTAATTCATCGATCTAGCCTTTTTCGACCAGATCTGGTCGTCAACGACGATCAAGGAAATGGCCGTCGTTGACAGTCAACGACGGCCAGATCTAGCCTTTTGCGGCCATTGACAGCTAGATCTGGCAGTCAATCTGGCCTTTCCGGCCAGATCAGTGGTATATCTGGTCGAAAAAGGCCAGATCGATGCACATCCAGCCATATCTGACCGGTCTACATTGTAACGCCAGATTCCGACCAGATTCCGACAGTGGTGGTCGGAATCTGGCACTGTGGGTGGATGGGGGTGTTTTTGTCATTTTACCAAATTTTTATGTATTGGGGTGTTTATTTAAATTAGCAAACCTAGTGGGTTTTTTTTGTTAATTTTTAAATTTTACCTCGTAATAATGATTCTATTCAACTATCTAATATTATTTTTAAAATCCTATCCAAAATAACAAACTAAACAGATCCTATATTTTCGTTTATTGAGATTGTTATCTTTTATTTGAATAATTATGTACCTTAATTATGAGAGATTTCTGTAACTAAGCAAAGTCTCTTTTCACATATATTTTGGACACATGGCAAGGTTTGATTAAAGCCTAAATATTTGGTGGGAAGTAATGAATTTAAGAAAAAAAAAAATTAAATAAACTCAATTTAAGATGAACTTTTGTGAAAGAAGAGCTCGTTTAGAGGTTCTATTACGTAGTGAATTATGAAAAATAAACTCATATTATTTTATAAACTATTTTTTTACTATTTATGGATAATAAAATTTTAATTTATTATTAAAAGTACATAAAATTCAAGACAATATATTCTTTACCAATCTATTGACTTAATATAATTATCCTTTTAATTGAAAAACAAAGATTAACGATTGTTTGATAAAATCTCTAGCTTCTATTTATATAAATTCTACCTACCGAAGGCCCTTAAAATTATTTTTGTCCGAAAAAAGAAGCAATAAAGATTGGCACATAAGTGACAACATAATCTTATGGGATGCGTTTGACTTATTATTTCTGCCCATATTCCCAATCTCATTCTCCAAATAATGTTTGACACATTATTTCAGAAATATTAGCCTATTTTTTTAATTATTTTTACACCCCATAAGTTATTAATTTCATAAATACCCCCTGAAAAAAGTTTAAAAATTAACAAAAACACCCCCGTGACCCATACTTGCTAGATTCCGGCAACCACCGTCGGTGGTAGTCGGAATCTGTACAACGACCTATCTGTCGACCAGAAATGGCCGGAAGTTCACCGATCTGTCAACGACGGCCAAATCGGTGCCATCGTTGATCGAAAACAACGGCCATATCTTTGGCCGTCGTGACCAAAAATGAACTTCTTTTGATATTTTTCGGCCGTCGACGGCAATATTAAGTCGTAGATCTGGCATTTTCAGGCCAGATCCACAAAAAATGCCATAGCGACTCGTTACGACAAAGACTCGACCAGTCTGTGTTGTAACGAAATTTTCCGGCCAGATTCCGGCGATGGTGGCTGAAATCTGGCACTGCAGGTGGTGGGGGTGTTTTTGTCATTTTATATATTGGGGTGTTTAATTAAATTAGCAAATCTAAGGGCTTTTTTATAAATTTTTAAATTTTACCTCGTAATACTCTCTTATCCAACTATCCAATATTATTCCCAAAATCTTATCAAAAATAATAAACTAAACGCACTTTTCTCACAATCCTAACGTGATAATTCGTAATCGAGTAAACGAAACTCATTATTAGATTGACGGGACCTATTATTGGATAGACAAGATTCATTATGAGTTGATCAATTATAAACTACCATGTTGAGATTGTGAGAAAAAGTTTGTGAGATTGCATTTACTAGAATTACAAAACAGAAATAACATTTTCATAAAATCGTTGGTGAGGATTGCTTTTTAGATAGGGAATAACAGCTTGGAATGTGTAATATTGTTTTAGATCGCTTTAACGACCTCAACACTCATAGCATAAAAACAAAAACAACCCAACAAAAATAGAAAAGAAAAGCGAAAGCAAGAAAAATAATTGCAATAGAAAATAACAAAGTGAGAATACGAATATCCAGCGTGGGTTGGTGAACTCGGGACTCGGGACGATGATTGCGTAACAGGCTACGACATTCACATTGAAACAAACCAAAAAAATTACAAAAAAACAAAAATTACAAAGAAATTAAAAAAAAAAAAAATCACCCGTCAATGTCAAGTAACGCAAGTCATAAACTTGCAGAGGACGGACAACATCTTCCAAACAATCCCTCACAACAAGAATCACAACTCCTCTCTCAAATGGCCACGACTTTATCTAAAGACTCCTCTCCAAATCCGTCATGGTTCACTCCCAAAAGGTATTATTATTATTATTCTTTATTTTCCATTTCTATTAACAGCTCTTTAGCTAGAAATTTAAATTAAAACATGCTATGATCGAACTCTAGTATTTTTAATGGTTTGTTTACTTTTTTTATTTCGTGTAGATCATCGGAAACTGTTCAATTGAGAACTGTTACCGACTTCATATCAGTAATTGAATTTCTAATTTCTTAAGGTCATTTAGGGAGCAGATTAGAAATGAAGATGTTTGAATTTTGAGTAGTGTATAGATGTTTTATGGGCTTACGTTGTGCAATTAGGTTGAGTTTTATGTAGAATTAGTGGTAGAGTATTAAGTTTGATTGGTAAATTGAACTATGAATTTTAGGAAGAGAAATTGGGTGGGATTTTATTGAAAACATGTTCTACATTTTATGAGTATAATCAGCAATTAGAGTAAAGTTTTAAGTTTGCTGTTTGCGTTCTGAATTTTCTGATGTTAACATCAGCCTCTTAAAATTATAAGTTTGTTGTTTGTGTTCTGATGTTAACATCAGCCTCTTAATTTTTTTTTTTTTTTTTTTTCCCAAATAAGTGAAGGCTCATTACATTAGTTTTTTGGGTGCAGGTTACTCTTCATGTTTTGTGTGATTAACATGATAAATTACGTGGATCGTGGAGCGATAGCCAGCAATGGTGTCAATGGGAGTCTCAGGACGTGTGATGACAAAGGAATATGCACTTCTGGTAGCGGGATTCAGTTAAGACTTAAGAGTTACTTCTGGTTTTTATTATGTATTGTAGTAATTGTTTGCTTCGTATTCCTTTTGAGGGTAATATTGGAAGTCCCATCTCGAAAGCATGTTTAGTGTTGATAGATCCTTGTATCACATTTATCCCATATGGTAAATTTTCATCTAAACTGAATTTTAAAGCAACTGGCAGGTTTTGCATTCAAAATTCACTGGTAATGTCGTGGGAAAAGATTGTATCAGCTATTCCAGTTTTTCTTACAGAGTGCCATACTATATTTATTTATCATTTCAAAATATTTTTGCTATGTGTCCATATCAATTATATATCTGCAATAACACCTGTTTAGCAAAAGGGAGTTATGACCACAAGACATGGTTGGCAGTCTGCACACAAATAGAGCCCATAAAGCATATACCTACACTTATACTATAGCCTAATGGTGTATGCTCATTTTTATTTGAAGGGCACCACCAATCTTATTGAACGGACTGATGGATTGCCTTTTTAACCTTTAATCTTTTGGCTGGTGGTTACTTTATTTTTTATTGTCTTACTGTATGATGGTCTTGCAGGGGTGATTTTAACTTGAATAACTTCCAAGATGGTGTACTATCGTCTGCCTTTATGGTTGGACTGCTTGTGGCTTCTCCAATATTTGCTTCCTTGGCAAAGAGGTGAACATCTTCATTAATTAATATAATTCATCTGGGTGTACTTTATGAAGCATCTGCAGTTGTGTCATTTTGAGAAGGAAGAGATAAGTGTTTGGGGCTGGAAAATGAGAAGAGGGTAATGATGGAAGAAAAGAAAGTAGAAGGCATGTGATGCTATGAACAGGCTACTAATAGTTGAAAGGAATTCTCTCTTTCCTTGTTTCCATCTTCTATCATAATCATTGATTCACCTCAATTCAGTGACAGCTGTGCTGCTTGAACAAACTTCCAGAATACTATTGCATTCATATTTTATAATGTATTAGCAGCCTAATATTCAAGAAAAGTTTGAAAATTGAAGTCAACTTTGCACTCTATTTTGTGGAAGCGGCTTGCATTTCTAAATCTTTCAGAGTAACCTTTTTATGTTGTTTCCTCTTCAGCCATAATCCTTTCAGGCTTATTGGAGTTGGATTATCTGTTTGGACTTTTGCGGCAGCTGGGTGCGGTAGCTCAATTGATTTTTGGTCTATTGCAATATGCCGCATGTAAGTTAGTGCTCAAAGAGTTGTTCTTTCTCCTATCATTGCATTATAGTTTTCTGGTGCTAAACTACATTGCCAATCTTGTCATTTAGGCTGGTTGGTGTTGGTGAGGCATCCTTCATAAGTCTTGCGGCTCCATTTATAGATGACAATGCTCCTGCTGCTCAGGTTTTTTTTTTTTTCTCCTCTTTTCTTCTTAAAGGACTTCTAAAGATTAGCTTGATTTTGCTAATTTTCCAAAAATGTTTTAATTTTCTGATTGCACAATGATACAAGTAATTCTGTCATAATTCCAGAAAACAGCTTGGCTTGCAATGTTCTACATGTGTATACCTACTGGAGTTGCTGTCGGCTATGTATATGGTGGATTAGTAAGTTTACAAACTGGATTCACTGCTCTCATATTCTTTTTTTCTTGCTATATTTGGTTGAAATGTCCAACTCCAATTCTCTTTCTGTCAGTTTATTTTTCCCCTGAAATGCTACACTGTATCCAGTTTTTTACAAGTTTGATCCTTTATATCTTTTCTGCTTAATTGGATATGGTTGATTTTGATGTCAAAAGTGATGCTGCACCTGTTTTTTCTTATCCTTTTTAACAACCTACCTTTCCCTTACAGAAATTGTGTTGGTTGTCCATAACAAATATAAAATTATTAAGTTTCCGAATACTTGTTTATTTATATGCCTGTTGTATTTAATTATTTAAATGGTAATTTTTGGTCTTGTGAACCAGTGATTGTTTCTGCAAATTGTCTAATATCTCATATCCGAGAAGGTTAAAACCGTGCACATCATCCTTCACTCTTGGTGGTGTTAAACTTGTCATATTCTGTTATAATGACTCAAACTCTTTTTACTGATTCCCCACTCACCAGTGGCAATCTCTCAAATGTTTCTGATTTTATTTGGTTGTAAAGTTTGGCAATAATTATCTTCAGCATTTTCTCTCTATTTAAGGTTGGAAGCCATTTGAACTGGCGCTATGCTTTTTGGGGAGAGGCTATTTTGATGCTTCCATTCGCTATTTTGGGTTTTGTAATGAAACCTTTGCAATTAAAAGGTGCATATTTTGTGATGCACCTCTGCAGTTTATAAAGTTACTATTATTATTATTATTATCTTCTTTCTGGTTACTTATAAAACCCTTTACTGGACTGCAACCACAGGATTTTCTCCTGCTGACTCAAAAAAAGCATTGGCATCCATTGAAACAGCTGCTTCTGTCGAAGGTACTGTATGTTGCTCATTTTTCTTCTTCGTGTAATTATTTGTTAGTATTTCTGTTATGATAACAAAGATGCTTTAGTTTTGTTCATAAAGGGAGAAGTCATTGAGCAGCTGCTGTGTTGTAAATTGCTGGTACCTGCCATGAATTACCACATAAGTGGCAAATTTTACTATCAATTTGTATGATGACAAACCTTTTGCAGCCTTCCCAAAGTGCAACATAGTTATCTAATCTTCTTATTTTTCTATTAAATCATAAGGTTTGCTTCCTTTTAGTGTCAAAGTGCTGTTTGCATACAAAAACCTATGATGCATGACTAAACTCTTTGGCTAGACCCAGTAGAAGAAAAAGAAGAAATTTAGCATGATACACACTCATACAATTTTAAGGATTATCTAAATTTAAATATGTTTTAGTGATAGAGTAGAACATTATAGAACTCCGTATAGGCTCAAAGCTTCATTGAACATACATATTTTGTTGCTCTTACGTCTATTCTTTTCTTAAAACATTTTATGTATCTGTATTTGGCCACTATGCTGAATGTGCAAAATTATAGCTTAATGGCTAAACAGAACAACAACTATGGTATGGGCTTGCTGCTTCAATTATTCTCATTTAAGTGTTTTTTTTTTTCTTATGATATAACTCACTTGCTAGGAGAGTTTTAAATGTTATAAATGTTAGAGATATCCCAGCATAGGGTTAATGAAAATGGATCTAAAAATAGCATTTCTGGTATAAATTCTTGCTGTATGATAACATATAATAATCTTTTCCTTCCGTAGTTTTGACATCAGAACTTTATAATATCATAAATTTAATTGAATTCAACCTTGCATTGCACTATATGTACACAGCAGGACACACAAAATCTCTTTTTTCTGTTTTTCTCTGTGAAAGCCAAGTAAATTTGCTGCAGGACAACCTATAGATTTAGGATTTATATTTTAAATTCTTTCTTAATTTGAATGGTGTCAACTTCCTTATCTTGGTTGATCTACTTTCATATTAGGTATTCATTTCATTTCCTAGATGGTTATATTCCCTTTCTAAATTAGGTCCTGCCAACTATAAGTACAGACTTAAGTTAATTATTAGTTGGAAAAATTGTATATGAATTGATCTTTGAGAATAAATATTAGTTTCTCCCTCTATTTCTCTATCAGTTTCCCTCCCGTTTCTTCTATTTCCACTCATATATTTTTCTTTTGTCCGATCCCTTTCAAAATGATTGCTTAATCTCTTTTTATGTTTTTTGATGGTTTGCAATACTAGACTTTTGCATATAACTGGGAATTAGATTATAATATAATTTTTAGGAGCTTCGTGAATTTTAAGCACTGATTCTTCTTGGTGCAGATTCAGAAGCTTCAGTTATAAGTGGTGATGTGCCAGTTGGAATTGAAGGTATCAGTAATCAAGGCTCTGGAAAATCTTCAAAGTGAGTGGCTTTTGCCTTCATGCTTTGTATGCATCTTTTACGATCGTAAATGTATTGGCATCTCTAACATGGATAAGGTTGCAGGGTTAAGTAATGTCTGACTTTTTGATTTTATTTTTAATATGAAACTATATTCAAATCAAGGAAAAAGAAGTTAGCAGCTTATTAATTGTCAAAGCATCTAATGTTTTGTTTTCCTTAACCAACTCTTTTCTGTTGAACTGAGAATTTCTCTATTCAAATTATAACAATGATATCTGAACATGAGGTGCCACCTACCTAATGATACCAAAAGGATTCATTGAGGAGGAAAGCTAATGAATTTTCAGATTGTAGGATTAAACAATCGATGTCATGATTCCTGAGATCTGGAAGCAGGATGGTGACAGAACTGCTTCTTTACAAGTTGAAACATTTAAATACAACATTAAATCTCCCAACTTGAATGACCCAGCAAAAAGGACAGATAAGAAAGGGGAAAAACAAGTGCATGGTTGATATTACAGCTTTGATATCATTACATGACAGCTCTCAGTGGTGTGAGCCAAATGTCGTGAGCCTTCATTACATTTTTACCTTTGAATTTCCAGTGTGAAATTATTTGGATATATTGAGGTGGGGCAAGCTAGGCAAGGGCCACGTTAAATACTGGTGGAGAAGTAGAATCAGAATCAAATTCTAGAAATGGTTACTCACTGTTAGTTTCCAGCTTAGATACTTTAATGATGCTGATTCATGTAAATATTTAGTCAAACCTTTATTACTCTAGGCTGTGGCAGGACGGGTGGCCATGGTTTCTGTTTTGCGCATAGCCATCTGTATCACATATCTTAAAGGATTAGAGATCCTCCTGTCTCCTCTTGGTTTTCTAGTGACCATTTGATGAACATTGAATTACACCTTATAAAGTAAACTTGGAAGGCATAATTTCAAATTTAAACTCCACTATCAGTTGCCCTATTCTTTCTAACAACAATTCTCTTCCATATGGCAGGTTGACAGGTTTATCCATTTTGAATCAGTTCTCTCGATTTGCAAAAGATATGAAAGTGCTTCTGCGCGATGAAGTTTATGTTGTAAATGTTCTAGGTATCTTCTGAATTTTCTGTAACTCCATGATGTCCTTTTAACAACTATTTAGCTACATAAATCTTATACCATGCCAGTCACAGTGATCTTGATCTGCTCAGGCTTTACTTGACTTACTTTGTCGAATTCCTCATTGTGATTGGCATTTGTTGTTGTATGTATTTTCTTCATGATTCCTGTAACCTCCAACATTTAATGTGTGACCATTTGGCAATTACACTGCTTTCCTGGAGGCCTTTCATGAGGTGGTTATATTATAAATTTTTGGACTTGTGGACATCATTTAATTTGTTAATTGGCTGGCAGGCTACATATTTTACAACTTTGTCATTGGAGCATACTCTTATTGGGGGCCAAAGGCTGGTTATAATATCTATCACATGGTATGATAACCTGAAATTTTGATTTTATTTTATTCACCATCATCAGATTACGTTGTAACCAATTTTTGTTTTGTATAATTTCAATTTTATCTTTGAGATATCAATTTGAACTGATTAAAAGATTGATTACCTTAAAAGAGTAATGCGGACATGATGTTTGGAGGAATTACGATTGTTTGTGGAATTTTGGGAACGATAGCTGGGGGCCTCATTCTTGATCGCATGACTTCAACAATCTCAAATGCTTTCAAGGTAAGTTCTGTTCTTAAGTTTCACATAAACATGTTTGCATATTAAGAAAAACTGTACAGGAGAAAATACTCTTACTTTACTAGGATATTTTACCCTACTTGACAAAGATGTAATCACTTGTTTCTGGGTTGTATTAAATATTGAACTTGTATCTCATATGTAGTTTCTGAATTTGTATTAGTTTTTGAGATATTATACCTTTGCTTCTTTTATAGCTTCTTTCTGCAGCAACATTTCTGGGTGCAGTATTTTGCTTTTCTGCGTTCTGTCTAAAAAGCTTGTATGGTTTCATAGCTCTTTTCTCAGTGGGTGAACTACTCGTCTTTGCCACACAGGTACTATTATGGTTGAGTTGGATTTAGAATTCTTTCTTTCCAGCGCATGCTTTGCATCCTTTAAAGTTATCTTTTAGATTATTAATAGAGAGTCAAATATAATCTAATTCATGTTCATGCTAACGGAAGAAAGTTTTAAGTGGGAGCTTACCTTGTTAGTTGACAACTGGCACTAACATATGAATCATTATCAAGCTGATGATCGGGTCTGTGACTTCTGTAAATAACTAATATATAGCCATGAACCCTATGCGATTGCCATATCACCTTGTGTAAATATGCAGAGGATTGCTGTCAGTTTAAGATTTTGTTATTGTGCTAAACTTTGAAACTTGGAATTGCATGAAGTAGTAATGTTTCTGTATCATTGCTTGCTGTACAGCAAGAACACAGGTCCATAGGTGAGATATGATAGGAAAGATACAAAACAAGACAAAGAAATAGAGAGAAATAGGGTGAAAGTAACAATAGACTGGAAGAATAAGACCGAAGAAACCGAAGCAATTAGGGACTGAAATAGATATATTTGGGTAGAAATTTATATTTCATTCTTCAATCGTCAACCAGATCTGCTCTAAAACTAAAAATAAGGCCCCATTTTTATAGTTGCCAAAACATTTTAAAATAAATGAAAAAGAAAATTGAAATATAGTCCCAATGCACATAAAATCTACTAAATTATGAAAACTCAACTTAAGAAAATAAATCTAACTAAAACAAGTAATATAATATTTAAATTCCTAAAGCAAATTATTTCCATTAATAACTACTGAAAGATAATTATAGATTTTCCATCAAGAGGTATACTGGCATGCTGCTGGAGAAAACTATCTGACCTTATTAATCTTATTCCTTTCCTTTGGCATTTTTACATTCATATTCTAGTTCGCATCACCAGTGCCATATTAATTAAAAAAAAAAAAAAAAAAAGAGTATTTCTTGCAAGTCTTAAGATACCACTTTCGGTTCCTCTCATGCCAACATATTATTCATGTGCTCTTGATTGGTTCAGTTTTTGATATTCTTTAGGATATCCCCCTATATAATGATTTAGCTGGAATATTACTAACATTGTTTTATAGAATATTTTTACGCATATTTTTATTCTTAGTTACTTTCTTATATCTCCTTGATACACTATATATGATCTATATAATTTTCTTCTTTTGTTCAAGCTTTTAGGGTTGTATTGTATGACAACATGAGAACATCAATGTGATATGGAAATATTGTACTTTGTGCTAGAGGTATTAGTAGTAGTTATAAGCAACTACAAGTCATTTTACATCATTTATTCATCAATAATACTATATATCCCAAAAGTTATCCCAAAATTCTCATCCCAAATGATGTGTAACTTATGTGGTAATGTGGTATTGAGATGTAAATCAAGTGGTGATTTGGTGAATCATATGACAATGCCAAATAAGATGACGCATCATTTGGGATGTGAATTTTTGGATATCTTTTGGGGTGTGCAGTATTACTCTTTATTTATTGTTATTAGCACTTTTTCATGCTTTGTTTTTCTTTCATCTGTTTTTTTCTCCTTTTTTCCTTTTTTAATGTCATATTAACAAGTTGAGATGAAAGCATATCCTTGTCTCATGGCATAACAATTTTTTTTTTTTTTTTTTTTGATAAAAAAATTATTAATTCTGTATCAAGTAAAAGGAGGAGTTGATACAATTGGGGTCAAGTTTGAGAAAGAATAAAAAACACCAAGGGTAACCAAATCTGTATAGTGTAGCAAAAAAAAAAAATCATCTCTCCTTTAAACTGAAACCCAAAACCATCAAAAGAAAAACCTAAAACCCCTTTGCGATTTAGAAGCATAAAAAAAAAATATAAATCAAAAAAAAAAAAATCAAAAAAAAAAAAAAAATCTTGAAATTCCTTAACAACCGAAGCCAAGATGGAAGCAAAAAGGTGAACTCTACCTGACAATTCACTATTGCTTTCTTCTATTATCTCCCCAATAAACTGATAAACAATCCATCTCCGAAGAGTTTTGCCTGCCCTGTAGTTTGTAGCAACGTTTAAAATTAGCTGGTGAGCATAGGGAAGGGAATGCACTGGTGAAATTGCACTTTGCCATTTTTATCTTTGTTGGCAGGCTTTATAGTGGTGTAGAATTTTTTGTTTTATGTATTGAATTAGCCGTTTATGCTTACTATCTTATTACTTTATACAGTCATTGAGGTTGAGTACATACTCTTTTGGACTATCATTAATATGAATATTAGCTCCTAACTTTCTAATAATGTCAGTAACTCAGATTTTTTTATCAACAATATGATATTTCTTTTGCAGGCTCCAGTTAATTATGTATGTCTCCATTGTGTCAAACCAAGTTTGAGACCATTATCTATGGCTATCTCTACTGTTTCCATTCACATCTTTGGTGATGTGCCTTCCTCACCACTTGTTGGCATTTTCCAGGTCTGCCTTTAAACTCCTGTTAACTCATACTTTTAAGAAAGTGAGAATAATATGGCTGATATCTGAGATTTCTCTAGTATGCATCCATGATTTAAGTAGATTTGTTGTTTTGGATGGATCTTATGCGATAAATGATTTAGTGCTGAAAGATTTAACTTTTATTTGTTTGGAACAATGTTCTATGTGAGTGCATACTGTCCTCAAATTGTCTTAAAGTATAAGCAGAATTAACTGAAGAAAATGGATGTATCTTTTTCTGGATGGTTAACTTTATGGTGTTTATGAAATGATGTTAAACAACAGTCTAGAATTCTCCAAGTAGACATTTCCATGGTTTAGGAAACATAGGTTTACTTTGTGTTGATATGTGGATAAATTTATTAAAAGGTAAAAGAGGAAATGCATGAACCAGGATAGAAATTTTTGTTTATTGAGAAATTAAATTAAATTTTAGAATGAAATAAAGGAAATGCACAATCTTGGTTCTTGTTGTTTAGTTCCTACCTTCATGCTTGCATATTCTGGTGTCACCAAATAATATGTTTATTAAATGCCCTCTCTGCTTGCTTTATGTTTTGATGGTCCCTATAATTTGTTTTGGAAGCATTATTAATTCAATGTTGCAGGAACCACCAATGTTTCCCTCTTCAGCCATACAATGATAGCTCCTAGCTTGGCCTGCTTATCTGCATAGCATTTTAGCCTACTTCATTTTGTATTTTCTGCTTTGAATATGGTTTTTGTGCATTATTTTCACTTCAACAAATATCTTTTACAGGATCATGTTAACAATTGGAGGAAAACTGCACTTGTTCTGACATCTGTATTTTTTCTTGCTGCTGGAATATGGTTTATTGGTGAGCAAAGTGAATATTGGTTCTGAATCATATATGTTTGACTAGATCTCTTTATACTTATGTGAGCATTTCATGTCTAAGTTAATTGTTTCTCTCAATTACTGATGCTAAAATCAAATCTAAAGTTCACGAAGAGTTTTGTTTTAAGAAATGAAATTTTTGACAATGGACGGTAGGATCAAATTACATCAAGTTAAATGTTAATTCACATTACTACTCTCCTATGATATATGTTTTATTGACCCGACCATAGTCAATTGCATTTCTACAATCAGTGCTACTGCTCAAATGTCATAACATATGCAATTGTTAAGATAACTTTTCTGACCTGTGTATTTTGATGGTTCTTGCCAATTGATGATAGCTTAACAAGGATTTTCTTACTTGGACACTTTTACAGGAATTTTTCTGAAGAGTGTAGACAGGTCTGATGAAAATGGTGAAAATCAAGCCTCTGCACATTCAAAGGCCAATTTGAAGCCATTGCTCAGTGGAGGCGAGGACCATTGTGGTGAAGCATAAATTCTTCAGTCATGATTTCAGTTGCAACCGTGCTTACGACTTTATAATATGATTGACCTCAAAAGAATGCCGAGTTTTTAATTTCTTACAAGTGTCTTAAAGGGTTACCCCAAGTTGGAAATTTGATTGAGGTTAGTTTCTTTAGGCATTGTACCAATTTGTAAAATCATAAAATGGACAAACGATATATCTTGTCAGGAAGCTGCCTCTACTTTCCAGATGTGTTATAGCATTTGAAGCCCAGTTCACGTAATTAGCAGAATCGCATATGACTAGCTTCGAAACTCTTCTTCCTACAATCTTACTGGTATGAGGAGTTCTGGTGCTGCTTTGAAGTGTTGTTATATGAAGTCTCTTCGTCAATCATCTCTTTGGAACAAAGAAGATTTGCTTTCTCCCACATTTCAAGTTGTTATCCATATGTGAATATTGCTGATATGTAAGAGTATTTGTAAAAATCCACGTGAAGAAATCCAGTCAAGTCAGAAAACGTACAGGTAAAGATTTAGGGTTTTCAGATGTAGTGTGTGAAGTATCAGATACAATTAAGCACTTTCCATTTGTTCTCAGTATGAATTTTTTTCTTCATTATTTTGTACAGTTCCAAACAACATTGTACATATTTGTTACTTTCCGGTATGTTATGAAAGAATATACATATAACAACTCACTGGTGTTCTTGAATTGATGTGAAAAAGTTGTCTTCTTTGTCTATTAAATGATTGCTTAGCCCAATCTCTATTCGGAAGTCTCGTAAAATTAAGGGCTAGGCAGCCTGTAAGTAGGGCTAATATGCGAACTAAAAGCCTTTGTGTTTGTTAATAATATTAGGTTGGTTAGGTGTAAGCATGATTGTGGATTGAAAAGCTGAAGAAAAGTTATGGAAAGCACAATAATTTTGTCGACGATTACATTATCTAATTTAGTTGAGCAAAGCAATAACTATCATCACTTCTATAGCCACCTGCTGAGATGTCATTTCTATAAAATTCAAATAATTTAAGGCAGAATTTAATTGAATTTTAAGTTTATAAGAGTAGATAAATCAATTAATGGATTAATGTCATCTCATAATTAAATTCTCTTTTGTACTTAAGCAATAATGAACACCACCTAATATGATACAACAATGGCCTCCAGAGTGATGACAAATACAGGATCCAGTCATTGATGAGAAGAAGGCCCTTAAGGAGGCCGCTGGCGCCATTCGCCGTTAATGTGATGTTTAGGAAGAAAAAGGAAAAAACAAACAGTGTGGACCATTTCCATCCTCAATGAATAGTCAACGAACCATGTGTCTTTTATCCACGTAACTAGTACTATTTTCGCTGAATTACATTTTTTCACCCCAAGTTTCATTTATTTCAAAAACTAATAAAGTTTTAGAATTTTAAGGTTTCAATGTCTAATTTTGGGTGGAACTTTGTTAATTTCTCAAACAAAGGGTGTGAGATGGCTTTCAATGCCATATTATTTTATTCTATTTTTTTTAATGTTTTAATTAAATTGTATGTACATCGCCCACCCAACAATCATGAGCATATAATAGCAGATATGGATGCATTTATTTGTAAAAAGTAACTATCACTACGCTTTAATTACAAGATAGATTTAGAAAAGACACGGGAGATATGAATGTTAAAAGTTAAATGGGGTTGGTAAAATATAATTACCATATAATTTTATTTAATTACTCATTTATTTAAGAACCCTTTCCTGGGTTAACATCACACTATCATCTTTGATAACAGAAGTATTGTTGCCTTGATACTCTAATACTAATAGGATCACTCTATTCTATTTCCTTTACATAAATAACACTACAAATAGAAATTAATTTATATAAATTGCTGTGCTGTAATATAATTGAAACTTAAAATTAAAGATAAATGAAATAAATTAAAAGAGAATTATCACATCAGTTTGAATAAATAAATAAATTTATACTAATAGTTTGTGGAAGTATGCGTATTAGACTAAAATAACTAAAATTAAACTCATATTTGGAATAAGAAAGTCCACATGATGAGAATTGAAAATTTTGGTGATATTGCATTTTGGTAGTGTTTGGTTCGGGGTGATATAAGATTAATCATATAATCTTTATTTAATTTTCAAGATTTCCTCGTTTGATTGTCAAGTAATAAAAGATTACGTAATCTTTTATTGCAAATAATGTTTACTATTGGTAATATTGAGAGTAATCAGATTATCTTTCCAAGGGGTGTTAATAAAAGATTACCGAGGTAATCTTAATTTTGACCCTATTTTGCCCTTAATCTTTTATCATTTTGGACATATTTGCCCTCATATGTTTACCAAATAACAATTACACATGCCCCCTACATTTGAGAATTTAGCTAAAATACCCCCGCCACGAAAAAGTTTAAAAGTTAACAAAATACCTTCAACCACCCAAGACCACCGCCGGCCGCTAGCTACCACCGCTGGCCGCCAACGAAAGTAGTCATATCGGCATAAGACCAATGTTCGTGTGCCGATAAGGGCGTTTCTGGCCATAAAAAAGCCAGATCTTTGGCCATGAAATGGTTGCTATTTCACGACTAAAGATCTAGCCTTTTCATAGCCAAATCTGTGGTCGTTTCACGGCCAAATCTAGCCGTAAAACAGCCATATTCACGGCCAGATCTGGTATGATTAGGCCTTATCGGCCCACGGACAGCCAGATTCAGCCGGTCATGCGCTATCACGGCAACTGTTGACGGTGGTGGCTGATTTTGCTATAAATTAAAGTTGTATATGGTTTGGGTATTTTAGTAACATTTCAAATATAGGGGGGTTAAAAAATATTTTAAAAAATAATAATATATTATTATTTAAAAAGGAGAGCAATTTAGTAATCTACATAACATACTCAGTTATTTATCCTTCCAACCAAACATATTATCATAACATACCCATCAATTTATTCCAACTGATCAAACACATTTCTCTAAAGATTCCATTGTAATCTATCTTTCCAATAATACAACATTCTTTAGTAATATAACATTCTTTGAACCAAACGCACCCTTTAAATGTCTTAAAATTAATCCATCACTTTGCTTACCTAATTCTTTATTTTTATTTTTTTCAGTCATTGATGATGCTTGAGACAGTTTGCGTACACCTTAACTAATCTCTTGAGACTGTGGAACTGTCGATCGAGTAAAAACTTTAGTAACCATGCCTATTCTTTTACCATCAAGCGGTGGTTTGCTTACCTAATTTCATTTACACTAGATTAACACCTGCCTTAATTGGAACAACTTATCAACTTACACACATTAAATGACTAATTTTACATATACCGTTGTTATATATATATAACCTATTGGTAGATAATGATTTCTCATTTAATTATTGAATATAATTTCCCTCTATTTAAATGCATATAAATGAGAAATCATTATCTACCAATAGGTTTTAAATTACGAAAAACATTTTTATATTTAATTAAACTTATATCCAAACGAGTTTACCTCATTTGTTAGTTATCATCCATTAAAAAAAAAAAAAAAAAAAAATTGAACAAGTTAACTTTGTGCGAACGGATTAACACTTTGATCAATAATATAATACAAATAATCAAATTTTGAATTGAGATTTTGTTGTATCTTCTTGTTTATGAGTAATGTCTCTATAATTGACACTTGCCAATTAAAAAAAACCTAAACCGTACAAAAGTTTGTTACAACTATAACGGAACTGGTTGTTGGCCTTTCAATCTCCAAATCTGAATCGAGTTTTAATAAAAAGACATAAAGCACCGCCAAATGTCTTATTCCATACATTGATTCCACGAGAGTTTTCCAACACACGTGCATCCCACTCACCACTCTTAAATCTTATTATTATCATATTTTATTTTTGTAATAATATTTATTCTTAGCTATTTCAATTTGAACCGAACAAATTGGATTTAAATAATAAAAAAAGGTTATTAATAATTGTGTTACATTTTGAACTGTTACTTTAAAAAAGCTAAATCACACAAAACAACTTTTTTAACCACACCCATGAAGTTTCTTTGTCGCTCCCAAAACACTCCGAAAAACATCTCCTTTCTATGTAATCCAACGGTCACAATCATTTCTGTGACGCCCCATCTTTTTTCCATTTCTGTTTTTATTTCATCATTACATAATAAATACAAACTCTGCCCTGTCTCCTCCTGTCCTTCTTCTTTCTTCTTCTTCTAGTCTTCAAAACCTTCTCTTTCTTCATTCATTCATTAAACGCGTTACATACATTACATGGCACTCACTACTGCTGCTACCGTACGCCCTCAACCACCGTATCATTTCCCTCTTTCCTACAGCATTTTATCAAATATTATTAATATCTCTGTAATGCGTTAACTTAAATTTATGTCTTCTACAACTGAAAATTAAAATTAAAGGAATTTTAATTTGTGTGAAATGTTGGATTCTCAACTAACTCTTGAGCACTGTTTTGGTTGATACATTGTCAAATTTGTTTCCGTTTTCTCGTTTTTGAGAGTGAAAAAATTCATGCTCAAGTTTGTTTTATCTGGTTTCTGTTTTCTTGATGGTTTTTCATTTTGAAAGTTCAGTCTTAGGGTTAGGGTTTAGTACATCTACACTACGTTTTGTACGAATAAGACGTTCTTTAAAATTTTAGGTTGTACTTAGATTACTGAAATCAATGTTGATGAAAAATGCCGACTATTAGAGCTCCAGCTACTAAGAAAACTACAACGCTCACGGTTAGTCTTCTTTGTTAACTTCAAATTACATCAGACTATATTTTATTTAATGTTTTTCACCATTTTCGTTTCCGTTATAGTCTGTGCTTAAACTTTTGGTGGCTACAGGTTGCTGTGAAATGTAGACAGTTAACGGGGATAGAACACGGCCGGGACATTGTTAGAATAAATCACAACAAGGTGTGGGGGTTATTTTGTAATTTCTTAGAATTATTTTTAATTTGAGTTTTTTCATGTAAAATTTTGTATTGTTTTGTTGAGAGGATTCGTTATGTAACGGAATAATTGGAATTTGTAGGAGGTGGTTGTTTTGGATCCTGATTTGTCAAAGGATTATCTTGAACGCATACAGAATAGAACAAAGGAAAAGAAGTACAGTTTTGATTATGCGTTTAGTCCTGATTGTACAAACTTGGTATGTGGCTTATATTTTAGTTTTTATGTCTAAAATTCCAAATTCTTAAGGATTTTATTAGATTAGCATATGGTTATATATTTCTCTTTCTTTTTCCTTTATGAGAATTAAGTTTGGAGAAAATTCCTGTTTATTATCATCATTAATGTTTCATGCTGAATTTTATTAAAAAAGTTGAATCTTGAGCGATTCAAATCCTTGGTGAGGTAGCTGTTATAAGTTTTCCCTTTTTTTATTTTTCCTTGAATAATGTGGAGAATCACAAGAGATTTTTTGGAATAGTTATTTGCATGTTAACATGATTGATGCTTTTAATGTTTACTGGATTCTTGTGAAGAAAACTCAAGCAATTGAGTAGGTGAAAAATATATGTTGAATACTGTAAGAATGTAGCTGCAGCAGCTACACTGTATTGATTAAATGGATGTATCAAATACTAAAGTGTGGGAGGTAAATAGATTGGTTGTATTGTGGGTGTATTTTTTATAACTATGCTTCATATTTTCCAGGATTTGTATGCGCAATGTATATCTTCTGTGATCTCTGGGATTGTTCAAGGTCTCAATGCTACAGTGTTTGCATATGGCTCAACTGGAAGGTACTCTTCGTGTTCATATTTACCTTGCCCCTTATGTTTGAATTAGGTTTTATTTATTTTGTTCCAGCTGAGGTGACTACCTCCATAATTAATGAATTTCAGTTTAGTATGTACTTTTTGAGATCATGATGTTACATTTTTTTGTTGTGAATTGTGTGGTCTATTTGTTATTTCCTTTATAATGAATCTAACACCTCTTGTACCTGTGCAGTGGTAAAACATATACAATGGTTGGTACAAAGAGTGACCCTGGACTCATGGTTCTTAGTTTGCATAGAATTTTTGACCTTATTAAAAAAGACAAAAGTTCTGACGAATTTGAAGTTACTTGCTCCTACCTGGAAGTTCACAATGAAGTAGGCCTGCATTTCAATTGTGGATTTTCAATTATTGCTTGTTGTTTTTTTTATGAAGTTAATATTTGATTATTTTAACAATTCAGGTTATCTATGATTTGCTTGAAAAGTCATCGGGTCATTTGGAACTTAGAGAAGATCCAGTTCATGGAATGGTTGTTGCTGGGCTGAGATGTATCAAGGTTCATTTCTTCTATTTGTGTTCATATATTTATCAACTGTAGTCAATCCACTGGATCTCTTTCATCAGAATGTTGCTTCACATATTAGGTGTAGGCCTTGAAATCTTTACTCAAGTGTAGCTAATTATTGAATGTCTGTTAGCCTTTCCAATATGTCTCAGATGACGTCAATATTGTGCAACTAATCACTTAGTGAGTGTGTTTTGTGGGCTTTTGCCTACAACTAACTTAGGTGATGAATTGTATGCCTCTAGGTTGTAATTTTGTTGGAATTATTAGTTATGGGCACTTGCATTGAATTTACTGAATTTTTTTACCTTGGCATAGTATTGGCATGCAATCACTTAATTTTTTGCTGGTTAATGAACATGCCAATGCTTGAAATGTGGTTTATCATAGATGCCAAATTCAAATGTCAGTATTGCATAGCATAATTAAGTTTAGCTGATAATGTTCTTTTCTTTTCTTGAGTGAATGGCTTTAGTGTGTTTTTCTGTTTAAGCTCTATGATTCATGGAAAGAAACAGTAATCCCTTATGGTTTTGTATTATTTGGCTCTCTGATGATCTATGTTAAGTAATTTGTGAATCTTTTACTGCCCAAGCATAGTCTATTCCTTGGCAACTTAAGCTGGTTTTGATTAATGTTTACTTGTGTTTATACTATTTCTCTAGTAAACTGTAATTTATTAATGGCATTTTTGTCTTTGATGTATCGCTGGCTTTCTGGTTAATTAGTCCTTGATTATTTTGCTTTTGGTTCAGGTCCACTCAGCTGATAAGATTCTTGAACTTCTGAATTTGGGGAATAGTCGGCGGAAAACTGAAAGCACAGAGGCCAATGCAACTTCTTCACGGTAATTTGAATTTCTTTATTTGCCGTAAACTTGCAGTTATCATTGTTGCCATGATGAGTTTTGTTAAACAACTTCTCTCTGTCATCCTTTCATTTTGGCTGCGCACTTTTCCAATTTAGTGCTTGCTTTTACCTTTTGGCCTTCCAAAATAAATCCTTGGTAATGATATCTGGATTTTATTTGACACTAAATGCTAATTTATCAATAATTTTGTTTACATAATCCAAACACCTCCAAAATCTGCAGGAGGAAAAAAGGGATTTTAGTTTGCCCTTCATCTTCAATCTTTATGCTCAAAATCTCTTATCCAGTGTATGAGGGAGAAATCTTTTATTTTTTGGGCTTAGCTGCAAAGACTTGGGATATTTTCATATTGTTGAAGGTGAAGAGTTAAGTGCATTCCACCAGCTAATAACAATGAGCTTTTGGACCAGGATTTTTAATTTTAAGCAAAACTATAGTTGTATATACAAATTAAAATTAGGCAAGCCGTAATTAAAAATAGTGTGAAGGAAAGGTGTGGCTTTTACTTCTGCACCATTATGCTGTCACTAGTACCGATTTTTACATACTGTGGATTAATTTAATAAGAGATAAGAAAAAGAAGAAAAGACTTTCCCTATTTGGTTTAATCATTTTTTCTTGAGCTCATACAAGTTAGTTTTTATGTAATCAGATCACATGCAGTTTTAGAGATTACCGTGAAGAGAAAACAGAAAAACAAATATCGTTATCAAGTAATGAGAGGAAAACTTGCTCTTGTGGATCTTGCTGGCAGTGAACGAGCTTCTGAAACAAATAGTGGAGGGCAAAAGCTAAGGGATGGAGCCAATATTAATCGTTCTCTTCTAGCGTTAGCAAATTGCATTAATGCTTTGGGAAAACAACAAAAGAAGGGACTGGCTTATGTTCCTTATCGGAACAGGTATCTGATGAATCTATTGTAGACTGAAAACCTTTCTGTTTCTTTATCTAATATCAATAGTTTAATTTTGTTTCTCGTACCCTAAAAAATGTAGCGCATGTGAAATTTTCAGCAAACTGACACGGATACTAAAAGATGGTCTCAGTGGCAATTCTCAAACTGTTATGGTAGCAACTATATCACCAGTTGACAGTCAATATCATCACACTGTGAATACCCTGAAATATGCTGACCGGGCAAAGGAAATAAGAACACATATTCAGGTAGGACATGATTTTGGGCTGTATCAACGTGGTTTAGTTGGGTTTGAGTTCCAGGCAATGCATTGTATTTGTTGTGTTTTGATGAATTATGACTAGGTTGCATACCATTTATTACTAGTAATTGGTGCTCTATTGCTTGTAGTATAATGAAAGTGATGCTATTTCCTTTTTGGGAATATTTTATTTATCTTTTGTGTTATGATTAATGTAATTCCTGTATGTTTGTGTGCTGCATCAACTAGCATTTTACAGGCTTAAGTCAAGTGCATTATGTGTATGACGTATGTATGTATGAACATTTATAGATATTTGTTGTGTATTGTCTGTGTGATTAGTAATATGGTAATCATTTGTGAGAATGATTGTCTTTTCGTTTTCAGAAAAACATTGGCACAGTTGATACCCATGTATCAGACTACCAGAGGATGATTGACAATCTTCAGGTTAGTTGGTAAATGGCTTAATATATGTAATTCTGATTAGCAGTTTCTATACATCGGACTTAACATATTTGATTGTACAGATTGAGGTCTGTCGACTGAAAAAGGAACTAGCTGAAAAGGAATCACAACTAAGTATCAAACCTGCTGAAAGAGCTGCTGATGATGAGCTGTCTTGGTTGAATATTTTGAGCCATGAAATCAGTGAAAATGTCCAGGAACGGATAAATTTACAGAAGGCTTTATTTGAGCTTGAGGAAACAAACCTTCGTATACGTTCTGAACTCCAACATCTTGACGAGGCTATTGCAAAACACCAGGTTTGTGCCAGTTATTGGTGCTCACTGTTTATTTTGCTTTAAGCTTCATCTTTCTTATTTGTGGATATGTTGAGAACATGACTTGTGCATATTTCTTCTCAGCTCTGATGCCATTTAGTATTCTAGTTAGAATTTTGTTTTTCTCAAACTGCATTTTGTTGATGGTCTGATGATCTCTAATGAAATTGACAGGATAGCTAGAGCTGCCAAAAAAAAAAAAAAAAAATGAAAATAGGGTACCGACTCAACAAACCTTCTCTTGATTACCAGGGAATCTAGTATAATTTCATTTCTTTGTTGGTTGAGGGTGATCCCTCTGTACAGATAACTGCTGCTGATGTATTACTGAATGGTTCTTTTATCTGAACAATGAAAGAAAGAAGTTTCAGATAATTTTTTTAAAGGAGTGCCTTTTTCTCTGTCAGGCTACTGAAAAAGATGAAGCAGTTGTGGAGGCTTTGAGAGCAAGGAGGCAAGTAATTCTCGATAACATACGTGACAACGATGAGGCGGGTGTCAATTATCAAAAGGTAATATCTGAACCATGACCAGGGCTTAGAAAGATTATAGTTTTCATCTGTTTTAACCAATACCACAAATATTACTATTTATAGGAAATTGAAGCAAATGAGAGTCATCGATGTGAACTCCAAGACATGATTGATGAAGCCATCAGTAACAATAGCAACAAAATATACTTGCGCATTCTCAGCCAATATAGAATCCTGGTGAGTGGATTTAAGCAGTTTCAATCTTCCAGCAATTAGCTGTTACTGAATTTGGCATCTTCATTTTTCTGATTTGATAGCTTTTTTAAAAAGAAGTTACTAAAATTGTTACTGTTAATCAAGTCAAGCTGGTTAAGTATTTACTAATCAATCACTCAAAATGAATGGTACTCGATAGTTAATGTCATTGGAAGCTAGGATAGACCTTTTAATGTTTGTTTTTCTCCTGAGATTGTTGTTTTGTGCTTTATGGGCTACCTTTCTGAGAGAGGATGACCGTGTACTGCTGTGATTGACTTTATCTGGGCAATATACCTATTCAAAGATTTTTGAAGACGTGTTTAGATGTAATCTTACTATGAAAAGCTCACAGTTGTATTGCATTGATGTAGGGAATGTCTAACATTGAGCTTCAGTTTGAAATGGCATTGAGAGATCAAGTCATTCACAACCAACGGGAAACACAGAGGAATCTGTGGAAATTGCTCATGACATCAGGAATTGATGAAAAACGTTTACTGGACCTTTCATCCAAGCAGGGAATAACAATTGAAGATTGCACAACCACTTCTCATGTAGGGCTTCAGCAATCACCAAATTTAGCTTATGGAAGATATTCTCCAGTTGGGTATAGTCCTTTAATCGGGCATTCATATCATAGATCATCTTGCATCTTCCCACAATCTGATGACTTAAGCTCAAGGTCATTAGCCTTGGATCTAGCTCCCAATTTTTGTGCGGAACATCATAATTCATATTATTTGTTGTCTCATGATCACTCTCCATCAGCATATGTCAGGCTGAGAAAGAGTAGTGAGCAGTGGGTTGGTGGCAGGCCAGTTTCATGGTGTGGCACTCCTGGTAATAGTCCTCAAGATATTCGCAATTCTTGTCCAGAGATCAGAACTCAGGTTTTACCTTACAAAGCTAGCCATGAATCAGCTTCCCCATGCAGTGCTGATTTTGGCCAGCGCCATAAGGTGTGCATGCAGTTGATTTACATTTTGTAGCTTTTACTTCTCTCTATCTTTTCATTCAAATCATAGAACAATATTACAGGGATGCAGGTATTCTCTCTAAGTTTTCATAATCATCTGTTTATGTGTGAGGTTTTATATTGCTGTCTCATCTGTCATCTCTTGTAGATCTAACCATTTGCCATGTCTTTTAACCTGCTGTTAATGTACTTATACAGGATATGTGGAATGTTACTCGGAGGCAAAATCTGTTTGAGAGCCCTCAAATTGGAATAACTTGCTGCCAAGACTTGTTCCAAGGCGGAATACCCCAAAGAGTTGTTGGATTTAACCCCGCAGAACAGGACTCTGGCATTTGTCGCTCAAACCATGTCCTTCAAAACACCAAATCCGCAAACCACCCGTATTTGTCCCGCATTCCTTCATTTGGCAGAGGGTCAATCCCTTCTGTTTGTCAGAGTCCTGAAACAAGGGGCCACCCCTCCAGTTTTGTATAGTCCTGTATTTTAGTGTCCTTTTTCTCCTCCTCTTTACCATGCTATTTTTTCATTTTTTTCCCCATTGTACATATACAAAAATATTATTTAAGTATCCCGCCTTGGTATGAGCAGGTGATTCTTTCATTTCCCTTTTGCAGAGAGAATGGAGGGAGAGGGGGTAGGTTTATATTGTGTAGGTACTAAGTAGTTGGAGGAATATTCTAACTCTTGACACATTGAACTTGCCAATGTAATTGTGATGCTGTGTCTGTGTATATTTCATGAAGATTATTGTCAATTTGGAAGGATCAATTGTTTAATAACTGCTTATAAACTTTGGTAAGATCTCTCAGCAGAAAGCACGATGCAGCCAATCTGGTATCAGTTGGGATGTTCACTTTGGCAACCAGACCAACAGAGAGATGGGATGTTGCGTGAGTATTAATTAATGCCAAGTGAATGTTTACTGTAAAATATGTATTCTATTCGCTTACTATTTAATTCAAAGCCAATTATATTATTTTATAAATTTATATTCTATAACATAATAAATTAGTGTTTTAAAATCCTGTTCAACCCGATCGATTGAACTGGGACCTGGGGCTTTCACCGGATTGGGTTACTCATTTCCTTATTGATTGGAAATTCTAGAAATTAGGATGATGATTGACGAATAATTGAAGGTTGGGATATTGGGGCTTTTGAAGAGAAAGTGTCGGTGAGTGCAATGGTGGTGATGGAGGTGATTTTCGGAGAGTGAATTGACTGGGAATTGAAAAAAATTGGCGACTACAACAGTCGGCTTCTGCGACAATTGGCAAGGCGAACGGGGGTGGGATGAGATGAGTTTTGGTTAAGAGGCTCAGGAGAGTATTTTCGTGGTGATGGGGAAGGTTGTTCACATCGGCGGTGGTGAGATTTGGCCTGGAATGTCAACGTTGACGTCGATGAGATCTGGCCGAAATCGAATCAATTTTAGCCAAATCTTAGGTAGATTTTCTGGGGAATGGGCTCAAGAGATGATTGAGACTGCATTTGGTATGTCGCCGTCGCCAACCAATCGACTGTTAATTTGTATTTAGGGTGTGTTTGCTAAATTTTAAACTTGTAAGGACTTAATTAATTTTTAGGGGTGTATTTGCTAAATTTTAAACTTTTTGACACTTGGTTTGACTAATCAATCATACCGGTTAAACCAATCAACCCAGGACCCTACAACTTTGTTGGATTTCACCCCTAGTTGGTTATTAAAACACTGTCTAATATAATATTAGTGTTTTAAAACCCAACCCAAGGGTGAAACCCAACAAAATTATCGGGTTTCATCTTGGGTTGGTTATTAAAACACTTCATAATAAAATATCAATGTTTTAAAACCCGACCTAAGGTAAAACCTGGCAAAGTGGTTGGACCCTGAGTTGACCGGTTTAACTGGTATGACTCAGTGTCTAAAGGTTTGACATATAAAAAAAAAACCTAGAAAATTACATTTAAGTTCTTATGGGTTTGAAATCTTGCAAAAACACCGTAAACACCATCGTTGGCGTCGGCAAATAGGGGCTGTTTTTAGCAATGACAGCACTCCTTATCACCACGAAAACACTCCCCAAAACCTATTAACAAAATCCATCTCACCCCTCCCTCGTTCGCCTCCCCAATCGCTGGCAACAACGGGCTTTTTTTGGCTACATAATTTTGCGATTACCAGTCGATTTGCTCACCGAGAATCATTGCCGTCACCGACCATTTCTCTTCAAAAGCCTAACATTCTAGCGATCAATTGTTCACGTATTGATGTCCTAATTTCTAGGGTTTTCAATGACTAAAAAAATTTGTAACCCGACCCGATGAAGGCCCCAGGACCTAGTTGAACTGGTTCAACCAGTCGGGTTAAAACAATGTATAATATTATACATTATACTACTTATATAGCTTGGTGCACTACACGTGATACCATATAACTTCATAGAGAAATATGAACCTGGGTGCGTTTGGCTGTCGGTATTGAACAACATTGCATTGCACCAAGAGATGAACATTGTTGTTACAGTTGAACAGCATTGCACTGCATTAAGAGATGAAAAGTGTTGTTATAGTGGTTTTTTAAAAATTAGTCGTATGTTTGGTTTGATTTCAGGGAGAGTTTAACAACTTTGCACTATTGTCTTAAAATTAACGATAAAGATAGACTGACGAACAAATTTCACAAACCCAATGTAGCAATTAATAATTGGTTTCTAATGAATGATGAATTTATCAGACGGAAAAATTCATCAGAAATCAATTATCAACTGCCCTGTTGGGTTTGTAAGATTCATTTGTTAGTATAGTATTACCCGAAAATTAATCCCCATCATTTCCACGGATTTAGGTTACATGTCTGACCATATTATTAGTAATTTAGTACTGCCGGGTAGATCTACCCAATGTGGTAATAGCAAGGTTGCAGTTGCACGGGAAAATGCCAGTACCTAAACAGACATCAAAATTGTCCATCAATTTAACATTTTTTTTACTTCCTGGGGTTCTGGCTTATTTTAACTGTATACGGAAACTGATGATTCACCAGTGAGAATGTAAAATGAAGGAGCCTTTATCTATCACACTTATGTATAAAATATGGTTCGGCAAATGGTTTACTACAGAAATTGATGATTCGACAGTGAGAATGTAAAATAAAGGATCTTTCATCTATTACAGTTATGAAGCAAATATGGTTCGGCAAATGGTTTACTATAGTTTCTGATACAAATTTGTGGTACAGCTTTTGCTTTATTAGAAATGAATAGTATAAAATATTATGGTTTGGCAGTGACAGTTTTAAGTGAAACAGAGCTTTATTTGTTACAACCATGCATAAACAACGTTTCGACATGTTGTTGTTTACAATTCTGTAGCCATATTAATGATGAGAAATGCTATGGGTACTAACGGATTTTACTAACCAATGTACTAACTTAAAACATAGTACGGGTACTATACGCATAGTACGGGTACTATGTGTGATTTTAACAAAGGTTAGTACACTAGTTAGTACAATCCGCTAGTACCCAAAGTATTATTCATTAATGATAGGACAAAGAGATTTCGAAATAAAGGAGACCTTTATGTATTACAACTGTTGTTAAATTTTTGGTTCGGCAATGGCTTATTACAAGTATACCATCAATTTAATGGTTCGGCATTTGAGAATAGAGTCGACATTCACAGTGTGATCTCAAGGATACCTGGATCTGTTACAATTATAGATACGTTATTCTTCTGCAAGTGACTTGTTACAGTTCTACAGGACAATTATATATAAATGAATGGTTGAGCAATTAAATTTGGATCTCATGGAGAACTTAATCTCTATTGCAATTTTAACTCGAAATTAAGATGAACCATGGCAATCTCAATTTGTCCTTTATTGATTTTCTCAGAATTCATTTCAATATTTTCAAAAGTTAGAATCACTAAACTCATTTATATTAAACAACCTAAGTAATTTGATTTTTGCATATCACAGTCAATATTCCATTTCACAATCATACAGAAGTGTTTAACAAAAAGAGGATATTCGTTACCTTCAGTAGGAATTATATTGTAAATATAAGAAGCAATTTTTTCATCCAAATGTATATATCTATATTAAAGAACAATAAAAAAAATTAGAAAAAAAATACACAAGTAAGAAATATATAACAATGATGCATAAATTATAAAAATAAAATAAAAACAGAACGATAAAAACAACAAGGAAAAGTAAACCTTCAAGTTGTACAACATAACAACAAATTAAAATTCAGATAAATATCTATATATATACAACAATGTCGTTAATTTCAATAACCGGTCGTAAACAACATTCCATAACATATGCAATGTATGAATCCTTGGCATTCACATACGTATGTATATATGTATTTACAAATCCCATTAATTTTACGTCAATATTTTTTTATACGATCAGATTAATTTCAATAACAGTTTATTAACAGTATTATATTACCGGAATCTGGTAAAATGGCGCACTATCGGCTGAATCTGGCCGGTAGTGCACCGATCTAGCATTTTCCGGCCAGATCTACGACGTAGACAGTCGTCAACGATGGCCAAGATATGGTCGTCGTTGACCATCAACGACGACAGTATCTTTGGATGTCGTTGACGACCAAATGCAGTCAGATTTGGCCGTCAATGGCCAGAGTAGCCGTAGATCTGGCATTTTTCGGCTAGATCCACGGTGGATCTGGCCGGAAAAGGCCATATCGGTGCACGACCGGCAAGATCCAGTTGGTCATGCATCGATACGACGACTCCGGCCACCTTCCGACGGTGGTGGTTGGCTGTCCGTATTTAATGGGTGGGTTGGGGGTGTTTTTGTTAACTTTTAATATTTTATTGTAGGGGTGTTTAGTAAATAAACAAACATATAGGGTATTTTTGTTAATTTTTAAATCTTACATCGTAATACCTATCTAATTTAATTTTTTTTCAAAATATTATTCTAAAAAGTATCAAAATAATGAACCAAACGGACCCTTAGTTAAATATCGATTGCACGACACATTACGGAGCATAAGACCATTAATAATTAAAAAGAGTAATAGTTCGGCTCAAAATACTTCAATAGGTGAGATTCACAATACATAACTTTACATGATCGAACCTGACAATATCAATTGTTCCTATATTACAAATCGGTTTTATGATACCAATCATAACAATTCATCATCACCAAACCTTGAACAATATAATGTTTAGGTCCTCGATCTCCAACTATCTTGTACTTCGTCGGTAGAATATTAGATTCCTTTTTTCATAAATCCAATTGAAATCAGTTTTACGATACCAATCCTCACCATTCACCACGACCAAACCTTAAACAATAAAATGCTTTGGTCCTCGTTCTATAAATCATGAAATTGTCCCTCAACTATTACCACATTATGTTACTTGGTGTAAACGATACGGACAAAAATTAATTGATTTTCATATTAAGATAGTTAGAGCATGTACTTACACTTTGGCAGCACATAGTAACACTCTCGATTCGATTTCATTAAAATATATGAATGTTTTCCCTGAAAACAAAATAAACAAAAATTAATTGATTTTCATATTAAGATTGTTAAGAAATATGTTTTCTGTTCCATAGAACAAAACCAATTATTTATTTAAATAACAATTGTTACCTAAAATTGAAATTAACAAAAAAATAATACTGTTCAACAGAACAAAAACAATTAATCATTCAAATAACAACTGATTTAATAGTCTGAATTTCTAATACAAACATCCTGCCATAAAAACATCATGGCCTTGATTCCATTAAAATACATATATGTTTTTCCTGAAAACATAATCAATAAAAATTAATTGATTTTCATATTAAGATAGTTAGGTCAAATAACAACTGGTTTAATAATTTGAATTCCTAATACAAACATCTTGGCACAGAAACATCCTCGACTTAATTCCATTAAAATACATGAATGTTTTTTTTGAAAACATAATCAACAAAAATTAATTGATTTTCATATTAAAATAGTTAGTAAATATACTTGCAGTTTGGTAGAACAAAACAATTAAAAATTGAAATAGCAATTGCTTTAACAGTTTCATGGAACTTTGGCCCGTAAACAATAACAACAAAAAATCATCAATTAACAAAATCGTGAAGACTAGTCATATTGTTGACACCAATTAACATATTGTGATAATAGATAATGGAACCGACTACCAATAAAACATCATGGACTCGCTTGCATCCTAATACATGAATCTTTCCCCTACAAACAACACCAACATCAAATCATCAACATTGATATCAACATGCTTAGTGAATTGTTCAAATTAACGGTACTGTTGACATCAACTAATATATTACGGTAATACCGACTCATAACAAAATAGTCAAAATATATCATGAAATGTGAGGGGATAAATATGAATCTATATAAAAATATTTCGGTGAATGTGAAAGGATTAACACCAATCTTTATATCTTTATATAATTGTTATTTACTACGATAAATGTGAATATGAATGGTCTATGTATATGTAAAAATTAATCAAGTTTTAATTAGATCTTTGGATGCTATTAATATTAAAAAATATCAAAGATTAATTATATTAAGCCTCATGTTCAAAAATCCTACACATCAAAATAACCCCCATCATCACCAATAAAATTCCATCACGTGCCAATCATAAATCCAAATGTTAAAAAAATTCTACACATCAAAATAACCCACATCATGACCAATAAAATTCCATCACGTGCCAATCATAAATCCAAATGTTAAAATAGAGCTTTTGAAAGTTCAAATAGAACAATTATAGAGCTTCCAAAATCCTACGTGTCAGTCAATTAAGTCATGCTTCATGATTTTATATATATATATATGTATTAATTTATATATATATAGATCCGCAAGAATTTCTTCCTATCATGTTAGGAGGTGTGGTGTTTAGCCCTTAATCAAGTTTCGAGGTAATTCATAACTGTAGCTGAAGGTGTTTGTATCAACTATCAAGTTCCCCGCCAAATAAACACTGAGCGGGAACAGTCGTCAAAACTCTCCAGCCACCCATCTCAATCCCAAATCGTTCCTTAATTTCTCAGCCTCAAAACCCCTCTTAAAACCTCTTTATCAATAATTACAATGTCGACGGACCCAATCGAATCCTTCAAACCCTACACTTTAACCCAAACCCTAACCGGCCACCACCGCGCAATCTCCTCCGTCAAATTCTCCTCTGACGGCCGCCTCCTCGCCTCCTCCTCCGCTGACAAGTCTCTTCTCGCCTACTCCGTCTCCAATATTTCCAATTCCGATTCTACCCCGCTCCAACAATTCTCCGGCCACGAACAAGGCGTCTCCGACCTCGCATTCTCCTCCGATTCCCGCTTTCTCGTCTCCGGCTCCGACGACAAGAACCTCCGTCTATGGGACGTCGCCACCGGCTCCTGCCTCAAAACCCTCCAGGGTCACACTAATTACGTGTTTTGCGTTAACTTTAACCCTCAGTCTAACATGATTGTCTCCGGTTCTTTTGACGAGACCGTTCGAATTTGGGACGTTAAAAGCGGAAAGTGTCTCAAGGTTTTACCTGCCCATTCCGATCCCGTCACTGCCGTTGATTTTAATCGCGACGGCTCGCTGATTGTCTCAAGCAGTTACGATGGTTTGTGCAGAATTTGGGATGCCGGCACCGGACATTGTATGAAGACACTTATTGATGATGAGAATCCGCCTGTTTCGTATGTTAAATTTTCACCAAACGGAAAGTTTATTCTCGTCGGGACTCTCGATAATACTTTAGTAAGTTTTTCATTTTTTTTTTAATTAATTTTAAGTATTTCAGTTTTAATTGATTGTCCAGAACTGAAAATATTGGAGTGAGTGGGAAGTAAATTTCTCTTTAACCAAGAATTAGTTTCAGTATCATATTGGTCTAGGCGAATGAGGTGCTAAATGATTTCGTTGACGTACAGGACTCAGTTTCACCTAAAATGTATGGGTTGTTTAAACTTTAAACCAAAGAGAAAATATTGGTATGATGAGCAGAATTGGTCGTTTTGTGTCCATAGTAGAATGCATTATGCAACATATGCATTTATTTCAAAAACAACTCAATATGGTTACGGTTCTCAGACCTTGTTGAATATGGTTGAGGTCCCTGATGATGTCCTGGGCATTTTTAAGTTTTTTTGGGTTCTTGATGTAATGGATAAGGTAGTTGGAGGTTATTTTTAAGATAGAAAGTTTGACATCATTACTTATTAGCAACCGCGAAGTACTGCACATTCCATCACAACCATGGCCATAAACCTCCATAAACTACTGCAAAATCTATAAAGCAAAATTAATATAATTAATCTATGTAATAAAATTTGGGGAAAGAATAAAACATACTGAGAATAGAGGTTCCTAATCTCCTGTATTTGGGGTCTTCACTGTACCACGTAATAGCAATGAATTTTCACATCCTCGTGGATGCTCTCAGTACTTGAAAGTAGCTTGCTTTTTCTTGGATTGGCTTCAATTCATCTCTGCTCTCTTTAGTTTCTGACATACTTGTAGACATAATAGCAGCGTGGCTTCAGTTTCTGATATTAATAGTAATGTGCAAGAACTCATTTCAGATTTGTTTCCAATTTTCCTGAAAATTTATCAATTTTGAAGTATGAAAATTTTCCGAATTTGAAATGGTTGGAGTAACACAGGAAAATGTTGTATTGCTTTATGATTCCACAAAGATCTTGTATATTGCTTTATGATTCCACAAAGATTCCTACTTTTCGAAATAATCTGAAAGTTTATTTTATTCTATATATAAAGCAGCAATTGTATTTTCTTTCATATGAAATAAGTGCTGCTCTTGATATGTAGTCCACAAATTTTCTTCTCCGTCTTCAATACTGAAATTTTTAATGTCATCAGTAAATGGAAAAGATGATGTGTGTTTTTGGCTTATTGAAGGAAGAATTATTGAATGACTTTGGGGTCCTTTGTTACTTCATTGCCAGCAACTATAAATATCTATTGCATGTGAATGTATAGTTACATGTGAGACTAGAAAATCTGTAGATTGAAGACCTCTGAAGAGCTGAATTTTATGAGGCAGAGTTGCTTGATTTGATATAATGCAATCTTGTTATCATTGAAGGATTTTCATTGGAAGAAGATTGGGATTGGGTGCCCAAAAGGGCTGTCAGCTTTGACATATTGTACTTCTTTGAGTATGTTTTACACATTTGGCATCTGCCTACTAGTAGTGCACATCAAACTGTACTGATAGACTATATTGAACTGGGAAAATACTAAGATGTATACCATTTAGGGCATTAAGGGTTTTCCTTTATTAGGTGCTGTGTCTGTTCTGTCAAGTGTTACTTTTTAAATTGTTTCGATGCATTCTATATGGTCTCAGAAATTTCATCTGGTCTCTCATAGTTTTTTGCAGTGAGTTTCCACAGGCATGTAAAATAACTCACATGGTTTGTTTTAATGATGGGTTGTGTGTATATTTTTTTGGTGAAATTTGTCTGTACAATCATTAACCTGTGGAAAACAAATATAACATAGCAGGGGATTGCAATGTCACTTTGATGGCTCTAGTTGGTGATGAATTTTAACTCTTATAATTGATAATTGATTTTGGCATCCAATTTCTTTTGTCTAGTGCATTTTGCACATTAGTATATAATAATCTTTACATATACTGTCATAATTTCAATGATATACATTTTCAGTTTCTTATTGAAAGAATCTTACTTGGATCTTTTATGTCCCATGAGCAGAGACTTTGGAACTTCTCAACGGGAAAATTTTTGAAGACATACACTGGCCATGTGAATTCAAAGTTCTGCATTTCATCGTCCTTTTCCGTGACAAGTGGGAAATATATAGTTAGTGGTTCAGAAGATAATTGTGTATATTTATGGGAGCTTCAGTCCCGGAAAGTACTTCAAAAATTGGAAGGTCACACTGACACTGTTATATCAGTAGCATGTCACCCCACTGAGAACATGATAGCCTCGGGTGCACTTGGCAGTGACAAGACTGTGAAGATCTGGACGCAGAAGGAATAGATTGCTTCTCAGTTAATCATTATGTAATGTGATTGCAATTTTTTTTTGGAAGTGAAGATATGGATTGCTCATGAACCTGAAACATGTGCTTCTTTCTTGACACATATCTTTGCTGCAAAAGATTCTTATCTTGTAACTTAGTTCTGTAAACTACCCCTTCCGGGCCTTTATTATAGAACTTCCCTTCTGTTGAGATGAATATGAACGCGTATCTCCAGAGTTAGATGTTTGTTAATCTTTAGGCCATTGATTTGACGATCAGCAATAGTCTCGGTGTGTAATGTATTTAACCCTGAGGGAGTTGGTACCCTGTTCTTTTAATTAATTTAATGTGAAAGGAGCTAGTAGTTGCATTACCAATGGCAACCCCTGCCAGACAATTCTGAATCAGCCTCAAGTGCTGCTATGTTGGAAGATAATCCATTGGATTTGCAATTGTTTCAATGGCTGGTTGCGGAGAAACAGTTACAGTTATCATGCTATATATATATATATATATATATATAATGCCGCTTCATCTTGAGCTCAATGATAACATCTTATTCTATATAGGGAACGATACTCTGGTGATCAATTATTTGCAGGTTAATGAGGATGCGGAGTGATGAAGATTTTCGTGTTTTAAGTAATTGAATATGCTTGTCATCAATCGTGCAATTAGATTGCGCACTTCTTTCATTTTTAACGATGTCTCTTATTTTTGTAAGAAGTAGTGAGGAGGATTTTTTTGTTTGTTTAAGTAATTGAATATGCTTGTCATCAGTCGTGCAATTAGGTCTCGCAGTTTCATTTTTAAGGAAGTCTCTTATTTTTGTAACAAGTACACTTCATGGACGGCACACCACTTATTCGACGAAATCCCCGTAAGAAGTAACGTGCAGCCGTGTGATTTATTGTTTACGCATTCAATGGTTAGTGGGTCGGAACAGAAAGGCCACGAAATTACTTCCTGTGTGGCACCTCCCAAGCATAGTAGTGCCCCCGAAGCATTGGAGTCCTTTCATCGAATTATCGCCTCGGGAGCAAATCCTACGAGGTTCATTCTTTGTACGGCTCTTAATGCTTGTGTAAAAACACTGAGCTGGCGTTTGGGGTTGCAAATTCATGTGTGTGTAATTAAATATGGGTATGAAGAAAATTTAATTTTGAGCAGTGCACTTGTTAATTTATATGCTAAGTGTGGTGCCATTCTGGATGCAAGAAATGTATTTGATGGCATGAAAATACATGATCAAGTATCTTGGACCTCGATTATAAGTGGGTTCTCACAAAACGGGCATGGAAGGGAAGCCGTTTCAATGTTCAAAGAGATGTCTACTACCCATATAAAACCTAATTGTTATACCTATGTTGGCGTTATTAGTGCATGCACAGGCCTAGATGATGCATTTGCACAAGTTGTGATCCTCCATGTCCATGTCATCAAGCTCGGGTTCAATAGTAATAGTTTTGTGGTCAGCGCTTTAGTTGATTGTTATTCAAAACATGGAAGAACAGATCATGCTAGATTGGTATTTGATGAGGCTATGGAGAGGGATAATATCGTACTCAATTCTATGATTTCTGGGTATTCTCAAAATCTACAGGGTGAAGAGGCGTTGAAACTATTTGTGGAGATGAGAAATGAGAATTTGAGTTCAACTGACCATACTTTAACTAGTATTTTAAATTCTTGTGGTAGCCTAACTTTACTGCAACTAGGAAGGCAGGTGCACTCTCTGGTCACTAAAATGGGTTCTGAAAGTAATGTGTTTGTGGCTAGTGCTTTGATTGACATGTACTCCAAGTGTGGCCACATTATTGAGGCTCGTCTCATTTTTGATCGAGCAGCTGTGAGGAATGGTGTGTTGTGGACTTCAATGATCACGGGTTATGCTCAGAGTGGAAAGGGATCAGATGCGTTGGAACTCTTTGAGCGTTTGGTGACTGTTGAAAGATATGTGCCAGACAAAATTTGCTTTACTACTGTGTTGACTGCCTGCAATCATGCTGGACTGTTAGACAAAGGGGTGAAATATTTCAAGATAATGAGAGATTATGGGCTGGTTCCCGATCTAGATCAATATGGTTGTTTAATTGACCTCTATGCGAGGAATGGGCACCTAAGAAAAGCAAGGGAGTTGATGGAGGACATGCCTTATGATCCAAATTACGTTATGTGGACTTCCTTCTTTAGCTCTTGCAAAGTTTATGGTGAACTTGAGCTTGGAAAAGAGGCTGCTAATCAGCTTCTCAGAATGGAACCAGGTAATGCCGCTCCATATGTAATGCTTGCCAATATATATGCCACGGCAGGTTTATGGGCTGAAGCAGCTGAGGTTAGGAAATTGATGCAACAAAAAGGAATAAGGAAAAGTGCAGGGTGGAGTTGGGTTGAGGTAGAAAAAGGGGTTCATGTTTTCTCAGTTGGTGAGGTAAGTCACCCTCAATCCCAAGAGATATATGATGAACTGGGAAAGCTGCACTTGGAAGTAAAAGAGGCCGGTTACATGCCTAAACATTTAGATGAATTAGAAGATTTGGTTTGTGAATGACTGTGTTCTTCTCAGGATTGTAAACAGTCAGTTGACAACTCTTAGGATCAAGAGCACTTTCACTATGACTGAAGTAGCAGACTGCAAAAGAGAAAACCGGTTCTTCATATGACATTATTGTAAGATTTATTGTTTTATGTTTTTGGATGCTTCTTACAAGTTACAATTCAATATGCATTTGAAACGTGTTGCTATTCTTCTCGGAGAAAATATTATTCCTCAAAGATCCATTTTCCTGATACACTAATTATTTGTTTCTTAACCTATAGGTTTGATGCTATCTACTGAAATGAAATGTATTGTCCTACACGAAAATTATGATTTATGATTGAACAAAAGTTATCAGGAAATTTATCTATGTTACAGGAACGGAGATAATATCAAAACCTTTCATTTCATTTAGCCTGGCCCAAACTTCATTAAGCCTTCTCCTATGAATCATTGTTTCTAGCAGCTAAGCCAGGAGAGTTTGTTACAAATTAGCCAGCTCTAGTTCTCTAGAATTTTCCTTTGTTGTATANTTGAGGCTCGTCTCATTTTTGATCGAGCAGCTGTGAGGAATGGTGTGTTGTGGACTTCCATGATCACGGGTTATGCTCAGAGTGGAAAGGGATCAGATGCGTTGGAACTCTTTGAGCGTTTGGTGACTGTTGAAAGATATGTGCCAGACAAAATTTGCTTTACTGCTGTGTTGACTGCCTGCAATCATGCTGGACTGTTAGACAAAGGGGTGAAATATTTCAAGATAATGAGAGATTATGGGCTGGTTCCCGATCTAGATCAATATGGTTGTTTAATTGACCTCTATGCGAGGAATGGGCACCTAAGAAAAGCAAGGGAGTTGATGGAGGACATGCCTTATGATCCAAATTACGTTATGTGGACTTCCTTCTTTAGCTCTTGCAAAGTTTATGGTGAACTTGAGCTTGGAAAAGAGGCTGCTAATCAGCTTCTCAGAATGGAACCAGGTAATGCCGCTCCATATGTAATGCTTGCCAATATATATGCCACGGCAGGTTTATGGGCTGAAGCAGCTGAGGTTAGGAAATTGATGCAACAAAAAGGAATAAGGAAAAGTGCAGGGTGGAGTTGGGTTGAGGTAGAAAAAGGGGTTCATGTTTTCTCAGTTGGTGAGGTAAGTCACCCTCAATCCCAAGAGATATATGATGAACTGGGAAAGCTGCACTTGGAAGTAAAAGAGGCCGGTTACATGCCTAAACATTTAGATGAATTAGAAGATTTGGTTTGTGAATGACTGTGTTCTTCTCAGGATTGTAAACAGTCAGTTGACAACTCTTAGGATCAAGAGCACTTTCACTATGACTGAAGTAGCAGACTGCAAAAGAGAAAACCGGTTCTTCATATGACATTATTGTAAGATTTATTGTTTTATGTTTTTGGATGCTTCTTACAAGTTACAATTCAATATGCATTTGAAACGTGTTGCTATTCTTCTCGGAGAAAATATTATTCCTCGAAGATCCATTTTCCTGATACACTAATTATTTGTTTCTTAAACCTATAGGTTTGATGCTATCTACTGAAATGAAATGTATTGTCCTACACGAAAATTATGATTTATGATTGAACAAAAGTTATCAGGAAATTTATCTATGTTACAGGAAAGGGATAATATCAAAACCTTTCATTTCATCTAGCCTGGCCCAAACTTCATTAAGCCTTCTCCTATGAATCATTGTTTCTATTAGCTAAGCCAGGAGAGTTTGTTACAAATTAGCCAGCTCTAGTTCTCTAGAATTTTCCTTTGTTGTCTATACATATCACTTCAAGCCAAACAAACATGCATACGTTCCATCACTGCTCAATTCAATGTCACTTCAGATTATCTAGAATGGTGGTACCTAGACTCACAGCCAAATACTGTGTAGGAAGAAGAGCTTCAGCTGTTTCGTAATTACTATCTTCATAAATCTAAACAACAACAGTATATGCATGCACCAAGTACCTCTACAAAGCAGACATCTCAGTTTCTAGACATTTCTCTGGATACTCATCCAGATACATCTTCTTGACAAATCCTTGTTAACTGGATTCAATCACTGGGTTTTCTCGATTTCCAGGATGAAGACTCGTGGCATGTTACATACCTATCAAATGATTAAAGCTCTACGTATCTTAAAATAAAAGTTGTCCTTCATGTTTATATGTAAAATAGTCGTGAACTAAATGACAGTTTGCCAACTTAGTGTAATATTTTCCATATGAATTGTGAAAGTCAAGTATTGTAGGCAAATAAATGTTAAAAAAAAAAAAAAAAAAAAAAAAAAAAAGAAGTCAAAAAGTCAAAAAGTCTAATCATGTATTAAATGACTCATTAATGAGTCTTGAATGCAATGTACTAATCTTCTCTATAAATAAAGGCTTTTACTTTTTGTTGGGAGGAGGAGCATTGTGAAAAACTCTTGTATATCTCTCTTACTCTTACATTATTCTCTTGTAAAAAATCTCTCACTTCTCCTTGCATATTTTCTTTGCATCTTTCTTACCATAGTTCTTCCATGCTTTCTTCATACTTCTAAACTTTCCCTCAACCTCAAGGGTGTTGTAATATTCTGAAAAATGTTAAGGGTAGCAAAAGATCTCATATATGTTCTTCATTTATGTTATTTGATATGTTTAATATATATGCTCTTCATTTATGTTCTTGATGTATTTAATTTTCACTAGCCCTTTTAGATGATGTTAGAAGATGTGTAGGTGTAGGTGTAAGTGTGTGTGGGATAAGAGGAGGGCCTTGAGCATGATTTCGATCTATTGTTGTGTTGATTGGTTTCACTTAGGTCGGCTATCATAGTTTTCCACATGCATAAACTCCATAATTGATCTTCTGGCAGCATCTCTAAGGTCTAGTAACCTGTTTAGTATCAAAGCCTGGTTATGTTTTATGTTTGGTATCAGAACCAGCACACTTATAGATTCCAAATTCTGTGTGTGCGGAGGACTACCTCCCTTCGGATATTGGCTCCTTTAAGTCCTGGTTATGTTTTAAGTTTGGGTCTTGAGCTATTCTTACCATTTGAGGTGGTATTACACATCTAAGAGGTTGAACTCATGCATATGAAATCCTTTTCAGCTTTATCTATGTTTACTGCTCCAATAAATAATAGCTTATCTAGATCTTCTTCTAAAATAGATAGTTTGTATGAAATATCTTATATCCCATAAAATCAAAAAATCCAAGATACTATCCCTCCCATTGTAAATCCTTATACAGCATTTTCCAAGTCTTCTTCGACTTTGTCTAAAACCTTTAAAACTCTTGTTAGACTTTCCAGAAAGCTAGTCAAAGAGTATGTCCAGACTAGTACTTTTGATAAGTGTCAAATTCCTACCACAACTCAAGAACAATATGTTACTTTGGAAATTTCTCAAGAATCTATTACCCAATGGATCCGTGAAAAATACTCTCATGTATACTTTGGTGTTATCAGACTAGCTCTATCTTATCATGGCAAAAAAGGACTCCCAGTTTTGAGCGAATCGCTTTGTTGGACACCAAATTTGTCCAATATCAACATGCGTGCATAGGAACGGCACATACAACTTTGAATGCTAGAACAGTCATAATGACATTATTTCCTAATTTCAATATGTCTCTTTCTGATGTTCATTGCTCTAAAGCTTAAGGTTCAATTATAGATAATTGGTGCAGATTTAAATCCAGGGAATATTGTAGCTACTTTGCATTATTAGATGGTTTAGCGGATCCAAGACCATGCTCTTGATCGCTATTCCTATGACTACTGATGTGTTGCTTCTTACTGTTGACTCTCAGAATACTCCTCACTACATCAATATTCTCAGGTAGATTTCCAGAGATGATTTGATTAAATTGTTACCAGACTCTTGGGTGATGAGTTATAAGTCTCTTGCATGACGAGGTAACAATTTAATCAAATCTACATCAATATTCTCAGGCAGATTTCTAGAGATGATTTGATTAAATTGTTACCAGACTCTTGAGTGACGAGTTATAAGTCTTTTGCATGACGAGGTAACAATTTAATCAAATCATCTCTGGAAATCTGCTTGAGAATATTCTGAGAGTCAACAGTAAGGAGCAACACATCAGTAGTTGTAGGAATAGTGAGATCAAGAGCATGGTCTTGGATTCGCCAAACCATCTGATAATGCAAAGTAGCTACAATATTCCCTGGATTTAAATCTGCACCAACTATCTATAATTGAACCTTAAGCTTTAGAGCAATGAACATCAGAAAGAGACATATTGAAATTAGAAACAATGTCATTATGACTGTTCTAGCATTCAAAGTTGTTTGTGCCGTTCCTATGCACTCATGTTGATATTGGACAAATTTGGTGCCCAACAAAGCGATTCGCTCAAAACTGGGAGTCCTTTCATGCCATGATAAGATATAGCTAGTCTGATAGCACCAAAGTGTATATGAAAGTATCCTTCACGGATCCATTGGATAATGTATTCTTGAGAAATTTCCAAAGTAACATATTGTTCTTGAGTTGTGGCAGGAATTTGACACTTATCAAAAGTACTAGTCTGGACATGCTCTTTGACTGACTTTCTGGAAGGTCTAACAAGAGTTTTAAAGGTTTTAGACAAAGTCGAAGAAGACTTGGAAAATGCTGTATAAGGATTTACAATGGAAGGGATAGTATCTTGGATTTTTTGATCTTATGGGATATAAGATATTTCATACAAACTATCTACTTTAGAAGAAGATCTAGATAAGCTATTATTTATTGGAGCAGTAAACATAGATAAAGCTGAAGAGGATTTCATATGCGTGAGTTCAACCTCTTAGATGTGTAATACCACCTCAAATGGTAAGAATAGCTCAAGACCCAAACATAAAACATAACCAAGACTTAAAGGAGCCAATATTAGAGGAGAGATAGTCCTCCACATACACAAAAATTGGAACCAATAAGTAACTTAATGAAGCCAATATCCAAGGGGAGGTAATCCTCCGCACACACATAAATTGTAATTCTCTATTAATTTAATATAAAAATTGATCCAATCTTCTTCTCCTAGTAAGTAAATGTGATATCATCAAATTGTAGATGTATTTCCCATTTATGTTTGCTGGTCCCATGAGAGGCAAGTAAGGAATGTCAGGCCGCCATGTCTTTTTTTGGAGAAATTTTATGGTGTCATGTTGGTATTCTTGACGTGATACTACAAGACAATGCATATATGTCAACTAGTTATTAAATTTATAGCTATCAATCGCAATTAAATTAAGGACAGTACTATACTCATAATCAAATCTTATAAATTTTTTTCACAATCCCCAACGTGACAGTTCGTAATTGGTTAGCTCGCAAATGAGTCTCGTTTGTTTACTATGGGTTTTGTCTGCTTAATTGCGAGCTGACTAATTACGTGCTTTTACGTTAGGGGTTGTGAGAAAAGTTTGCGAGATTGGACTGTGAGCCGATTTTTATTGTTACATTAAAGACTTAGGAGGGAAGAAAACTTCACAAGTGACTTAAATTAACTGATGGGTAGTGATACCCTCCAATGTATTATAGATTTTTTTCCTCTTTTTTTTTTTTTTTTTTTGTCTTTTCGGAACCTGTTAACTGACGGATAGGCTTGTTGGGTCCTCTAACCATGGCCCATGGGCTGCTTGCTGGGTCATCTAATCATAGCCCATAGGCTGCAGGCTTCATAACCCATGGGCTGCACGCTTGCCTAGTTATCTAAGTCTAACCATAGGCAATTGGCTGCTTGCTTACTGGATGTCTAACCATTGCCCATAGGCTGCACCGCTGCAGGCTTGATAGTCCATGGGCTGCAGGATTGCTTGGTTAGATAACCATAGCCAATTGGCAGCGTGCTTGCTGGGTGATCTAACCATAGCCCATAGGTTGCAGGCTTGATAGCCCATGGGCTGCACGCTTGCTTGGTTATCTAAGTCTAACCATAGCCCATTGACTGCTTGCTTACTGGATGATCTAACCATAGCCCATAGGCTGCACCGCTGCAGGCTTGAGAGTCCATGGGCTGCAGGTTGCTCGGTTAGATAACCATAGCCAATTGGCTGCATGCTTGCTGGGTGATCTAACCATGGCCCATAGGCTGCAGGTTTGATAGCCCATGGGCTGCAGGCTTGCTTGGTTATCTAACCGTGGCCAATTGGTTGCTTGCTTGCTGGATGATCTAACCATGGCTGATAGGCTGCAGGCTTGATAGCCCATGGGCTGCAGGATTGCTTGGTTATCTAACCACAGCCAACTGGCTGGATGTTTGCTGAGTGATCTAACATAGCCCATAGGCTGCAGGCTTGATAGCCCATGAGCTGCAGGCTTGCTTGGTTATCTAACCATAGCCAATAGGCTGTTTGCTTGCTCGGTGATCTAACCACAGCCCATAGGCTGCATGGCTTGCTGCATCATCTACCCATAGCCCATGGGCTGCAAATCAAGCTAATGACAGGCTATGCTAA